ATAATCAACAGTTCAGTGATAAGCACTCTCAATTAAACTAGAATGACAAAACACTGGATGTGTCTTAATCTCTTTTTTAAATATTAATAGTTTTACAACACAAATAAAAACTATACTGAAAAGTTTAAAAAAAATCTGCCAAAGGAAGGATTTCAAATTCCATTTTTTCCTTCCACATTAGCTAATCAGATTATCAGATCGCATGTTACAGGAATAATAGCACTCTATAATAATCTTCCTCAAATTGCTGAACTCCAGATCTGATGGACTATAATTCCCCTGATAACCAGCCAGAGATTTGGGAGTTGTAATCCAACACATCTGGAGCCCACCAGATTAGGCTCAATGAAATCTTTTGTAGTTATGGTTTAAGCTTCTTATCTGATGCAGTAGGAAAGTAAGAGATATCAGACACATATTTATTTTACATCAAAAGGCTGCACTTCATCAAAGACTGTTCTGTAGCCAGATCAATTTACCTACCCCTTTTTTCCTGCTAAAAAAGTTCTCAGCGCCAGTGTCTATTTTGTAAAATAGTCCTTTTCTGATCATTCGAATTTATAGGTGCATCCTTCCTCGATACCAGTCTCCATTGCTTAAGGATTTGTTGCAATTAAAACATATATAATTCAAAAAATATAAACCAGGTAGGTAGACTAGGTTGTATATGAAAAAGCATATATCACAATACAGCTGTATTGTACAGCCATCATGGGATTTTGATGCATAAGCCGAATACAAAAATATTCTGACTATAAACAAATTCCTTCAACTTGAGTTTTACTTTTACTGATTTCAGGGGCATAGCCACATACATACAGTCATGTGAAAAAGAAAATGCATCCCCTTTGTGCTCTATGGTTTTACGTATCAGGACATAGTAAAAACCATCTGATCCTTAGCAGTTTTTAAAAGTAGGTAAATCCAGATGAACAACAACACATGACATATACCATGTCATCATTTATTTTATAAGCCCCGAGGATTCCTGATAATCTCCCATCTAAATATTACAGATCCTACTTAGGTTTTTGAGATAAATATTTCAAAGAATCATGGTGTTGTTTTTTCTAAAGGCAAGTACGAAGGAAAAAACACACATTTCTTTTCAAATTTCACAAAACAAAATAATGTATAACATTCATACAGACCGGGTTTAGATGCACCAGACCATCCCAACTTACCACTCTTAGTAACAAAGAAAAGGGGGTCCTTGGTGCTCCCTTAGCTGGCTTGTTTTCTTGTAGAGGCTTAATTACGCAAACTAGCTAACATGATCAGCACTGATGATGATCACCTAGTTTAGGTAATGAAACATCTGCAAAGAAACCACCAAGCTCAGGAAGCACCAAGGATCCAGGGATGGGATTAAAAAATATTTACTACCAATTCTGTGGGCGTGGCTTGGTGGGCGTAGTGTGACTTGGTGGGTGTGGCTTGGTGGACATGGGAGGGGAAGGATACTGTAAAATTTCCATTCCCACCAGTGCTGTTGGGCCCACCCACTTGCCCAGGCTCCCATACTCACATTTATCTTCTGCTTTTGAAGCGCAGCTGCTTTGTGCGGCACAGAAGAGTGCCGCGCGGCAGCTGCTAAAGCGACCGGGAGAGTTCAGGCTTGCAGGAGGTGAGTTGAAACGCCTCTGTGCCTGCACAAAGTGCATGTTTGGCACGTGCGTGCATGCACGCAAAGCACGCCCACCAAGCCACGCCCACCAAACCGGTGCTAAAAGTTTTTGAATCCCACCACTGATTCCCAGCCCACTCAAGGGGAAGGTTACTGTAAAATCTCCATTCCTCCCCGCACCCCACTAACCTGCTTTCCAGCTCCGTTCTGTGCAGGGCAAGAAAAGAAGACCCAGCCAATCAGCTGGGACTTGGGAGGCAGAGAATAGATGGGGGTGGGGCCAGTCAGAGGTGGTATTTGCCGATTCTCCGAACTACTCAAAATTTCAGCTATCAGTTCTCCAGAACTGGTCAGAACCTGCTGAATACCCACCTCTGCAAGGATCCCTCATATCAACCCTGAACTACAAATATTCTCCTTTATCGATACGAAGAAAAGGGTTTGGGGTGGTTGCAACATTAACAGTACCTCCTGAATCAACCAGCCATCGGTTTGTGTTGCCCTTGGAGTCCATGCCATGCAATAAAGCCACTATCTGCCCTCTCTGCAGAGTCAAGTCCATTTCTTTGCAGCCCCCGGTATCCCTTGTCACCTGGTACAACTTATCTGGGCCATGTTTGTTCAGAAGCAAAAGGACCTTCTTCTCCTCTGCAGAGTTAAGAGGCTATTGAAAAGGTAGAAGGAGAAATGAGTCAGAAAAATATCCACTGTTGAAGAAATATGCTGCTGTGTTTTATGCACTTATGCATGAATCATAATGAAACAAAGTGCTAATGCAGCTAACCAAAAATATCCTAGAACAAGGTGTGACAAATCCTGAAAGTCAAACATATTTTGCACGCTAAGTTTCAGAAAACAAGGAAAAGAGATAATTCTGCAAAGGAGGCAGAGTAGGGCTGCAAGAAATTGGGCACTGGGAAAAGGAGAGGGAAAATTATTTTCATCTGCTTCTAATACTACCAGTTCTATTTCCTCTACAGGGCCAAGAGCCATACATTTGCTCGAGACCGCTACTGCTGAATCTCAGTGCTACAGCCTTTCAAACAATCATACTCAACTACTCTGAAAATTGTCAGTAGGCTAAATAAAACATGCCTAAATTAAATTTTTAAAAATACAAATCATAATAATTGTCTACTTGTTACCCTTCCATTGCTGGGAATGCAAATATCTAGAATCCATCCAGATGTTTTATGTGTACAATTTTCAAATTATAAAGTTTAAGCAACATGGCCAGTAATTTCTTTAATGGCAAGTCAATTAATGGTACTGCAAAATCAACTGACTAAGATTATCTGCTTTATCCTTCCTAATGCTTCTACTGGCCCTGAGATTGTTTTGGGATTGCTAGTAACTAAATTTGTTTAGTCAGAAGTCATTACAAAACCATCCATTGGCCTACTACAATTTATACTAAAACCATCATCCGCTGCAGAAATAAACATCTATATACACTACGGCATGTATGGGTCAGTGACTCAAGATCTTAAAAGGGTTCATACACTTTTCTCCTAAAATGCATACAATGCACAAATAGGTTGCTTAGTAAAGATATCCGAGTGCCTTAATGAAAAATGTGACATCACAAAGTAAAACTTGTCTTGAGTACTTCACAAAAGGGTAAAGCAAACTCTCCAAAGACAAGCAAGCCAGCCTTTGAATTATTCACTCCCCTCGCATTCAAATTCCAAGTTTATACACAAGACAATCCAAGCATCCAAGTATCACAGAATATCCCTGGATAAGACCTAGAATTCACCTGGAATTAGCATCTGCTTCTTCCATGCCCGTGCCAGATATTTATGAGTTAACTAGCCATCGGTCAACCGAGGAAATTGTGCACCAGTAAACGCATACCCTCTTGCTTTTCCAGTAGCATCATACCTGCACAACAGGGCTTGGCAAAACAGTATCAAACTTCTTCTGGAGAAAGTACAGCTGATCTTCAGCCTGATTTAAAGTATCCATTACCATTTTCCAAAATTCAGTTGCAGAGAGATGTCTATGGGGCAGCTGTAAGAGCAAGCCTAGAATTAAATGACTGAAAAAGAGTATGTGTAAAACAATTACTGTCCTAATTTTTTGAGGACCTGTATACTGCATAAGTCAAAAAGAGGGCGGCTGTGAAAATATTTCCAACCCCTCACATCCTGGACATAACTGCTTCAACTCCTATCTTCAAAACGATGCTATAGAGCAGTGGTGGCTAACCTTTTTGGGCTCCTGTGCCAAAAATTGTGCGCGTGTTAGCGCGCGCACACTCACGTGCCAGCACCCAGAATGCAATGTGCCCCCTGTGCATGTGCACGCAATCCCCCCCATGCCATCCCCACTACCCCCTTACCTGCACTGCACCTCACAGCTGATTTTTCAGCTGGTTTGAGGCCTTTTTCAGCCTCGCAGAGGCTTGGAAAAAGCCTCTGCAAGGCTTTTCAAGAAGAATTATAGGCCCGTTTCGTCAATTCTGGTATTACAGGAAGTGATGAAACAGGCCTATTCTTCCTGAAAAGCCTTGCAGAGGCTTTTTCCAAGACTCTGGGTGGCTGAAAAAGGCCTGAACCCAGCAGAAAAATCAGCTGGGAGGCGCATGCATGTGCAGTGAGGTAAATTTGCCTGCAGTTCTCGTGCCAGCATAAATGGCTCTGCGTGCCACTTGTGGCACGTGTGCCATAGGTTCGCCATCATTGCTAAAAAGTATTGCACACCAGAACAACTAGACACAAGGACAGTTTTTTTCCTGAATGCCATCACTCTGCTAACCAAATAATTCCCTCAACATTGTCCAACTATTTACTAAGTCTGCATTACTATTACTATTAATCTTCTCATCGTTCCTATCACCCATCTCCTCCCACTTATGACTGTATGACTGTATCTTTGTTGCATGTATTCTTACGATTTATATTGATTGGCTCCTAGTATGATTTGCTTGCTTGCTTGTACTCTATGACTATCATTAAGTGCTGTACCTTATGATTCTTGATGAATGTATCTTTTCTTTTTATGTACACTGAGAGCATATGCACCAAAGACAAATTCCTTGTGTGTCCAATCATCGTTGGCCAATAAAAAATTCTATATTTATATATTTTCTATTTCTTAAACTTGGTATTGGGTCTCCTGCTATTTATACCATCCATAACAGGCTGCACAGCAGCACAAAAATATTTTAGGCTATGGACTGCAATTTCTGTGTTTTCAGGGAAATGCCACATTTTCTTCTTCTTCAAGGATATGCCTATTGGTTGCATGCAGGGGGAAACAATCAAATAGAAATCGCCTCTTACCTGGACAATCTCCCCTTCTGCCTCGTGCAGGATTTGCTTGGCCAGATCCCTCTGAAGAGTCACGAAAGAACAAAGGATGCAGGCCAGCCACTTCAGGGCCACCTGATTGAATGTAGGAAGCTCAGATACAAGCAAGGAGTTAATGCCAAGATAGGCATTCATGATAGCCTCCTCCTCATAGGTCACACTGCCCGTCTCGTTCCTCTTCTCCTCATATTCCTCATAGTCAAGCAGCTTATCTGATCGCTTCTTGATCAGTTTCTGGGGGCCTCTCAGAGTCTCTGATAAGTTGCACAGTGGCTTATATACCAGGTGCTCCAGCCTCTGCTTCTGTAAAGGAAGAGATGCAGACTTTTCTCAAATCTTGACCTCCTTTGCTCTGTGGAAGATCAAAGCCTTTGGACTGAAGGTCTCTGGTCCTTCTCCTTGCTACGTGCCTAATAGTTAGAGAAATCTTAGATAATCTAGAAAAATCTCAAAGAACTTGCTTTGAAATTTTGGAATATATATATCACATTATGCTCCACTTCTCAGACATTGGCTCGTTAGGTAAGATGAAGATTTTTCCTTGGAAAAAACCCTGTTATCTCACAATGGTTTATCATCATTATCATCTTCAGATATGCCGAGACTACAACTCCCAAAATTCCAGTTTGCCTGCAAATGTGAGAAGGCAAGGCTATAATGAATCAATCCGATCCTTCCCTCTTCCCAAATTTGGCAAACTGATACTTACATAGACAGGAAAGGTGGTGCTGTGAAGCTTTTTTGCAAGGGAACAATACGGTTGGGTAATGTACGTTTCCATATCCAGTTCATCCTCATGTGGTTTGAAACTAAGGAACATCTAAAAGATAAGGAAAGCAACTTTCATTATTAGGCAGGATTGCAATGATTAAAATGTCTATTCTTCCAAAATTTCTTTATATATTTCAGACGATACCAATTAAAGTACACAAAAAGTATTTTGAAGAACTTAATAAAATAATCGTAAAATTCATTTGGCAAAGGAAAAAACCGAGGATAAATTTAAAGGCAATGCAAGATATGAAGAGCAGGGGAGGGATGGCCCTTCCAAATTGGGAGTTGTACTATAGTGCGGCCCTCTTAGTATGGTTGAAGAAATGGGTGAACTTAACAAACAAGAGAATATTAGTTTTAAAAGGTCACGACCTACAGAGGGGGTGGCATGCTTTTCTATGGGATATCGGAAAAACCTCCCAGAAATACTTTCACAGACACTTAATTAGAGATGCATTAATGACTAACTGGAAGAAAATAAGGAGAAAACATTATTTAAAAATACCAGTCTGGATTTCAACAATGGAAGCGATGATCCACCCAAATAATTTGGATATTACTAAGATGATTAAATACAAGGACTTATTGGATGTGCAAGGAAATTTGAAATTGTGGCAAGATCTTCAGGACCAGGGAGTACAAATCGATAGATGGGCATATCTTCAAGTACAGAGTAGATACAAACAGGATAAGAAAGAATATGGAATCAATAATAAACTTCAGCAACTAGACAAAATTCTATTAGGCCCAGATAAAAAAAATATAACAAAATTTTATAATTACCTACTAGAGGCAGAATTAGAGGAAGAAATTGTCAAAGGGAATATGATAGCCTAGAGTAGGAATATAGGACGTGGTATCACTTTAATAGAGTGGGAGAAGGTCTGGAGTAGAAATAATAAAATCACAAAATCGGCAGCCTACAAGGAAAATGCCTATAAGATATTTTACAGATGGTACCTTCCCCCCTCGAGATTAGCGAAAATGCACCCCAACATGAGTCCGAATTGCTGGAAATGTAAAAAAAGGGAGGGAACTTTCTTCCATATGTGTACAGAGGCACAAAAATATTGGCAGAAAATTAGAAAATGGTTGGAGGAAATGACAATAGAACAGATCGAATTTAAACCAGAACTCTTTCTATTATGGATCTTTAATAATCAAATCTCAAAAATATAATAGTAATAGTATTGCAGACTTTGTAATAGTTGGTCAGTGTTGAGGGAATTATTTGTTTAGCAGAGTGATGGTGTTTGGGGGGAAAAAATGACCTTGTATCTGTTCTGGTGTGCAATGCTCTATAGCAGGGATCCCCAACCTTTTCGACGCCGCGGCCCGGTTCCGGCGTCAGCTGGGCGCCACGGCCCGGTTCCGGCGTCAGCTGGGCGCCGCCATCTTTTTTTGACGAAAAATCACTTCCGGTGACATCACCGGAAGTGATTTTTCGTCAAAAAAAATGGCGGCGCCCAGCAACCAGCGGCCCGGTAAGGCTTGTTCCGCGGCCCGGTACCGGTCCGCGGACCGGCGGTTGGGGACCCCTGCTCTATAGCATCGTTTTGAGGGTAGAAGTTGAAACAGTTTATGTCCGGGATGTGAGGGGTCTGTAAATATTTTCACAGCCCTCTTTTTGACTTGTGCAGTATACAGGTCCTTGATTGAAGGCAGGTGGGTAGTAATTGTTTTTTCTGCAGTTTTTAATTACTCTCTGAAGTCTGTGTCTGTCTTGTTGGGTTGCAGAACCAAACTAGACAGTTATAGAGGTGCAGATGACAGACTCAATAAGTGGTGAATTGTGACCACAGGTTAACATTTAGCACTGTCCAGCTTTTATTATAGAAATAATAAAGGCAAGACACAAATCAAATAAATATAGAGTCCAGGTGTGGTTTGGATTTCTACTTCAAAATTGCAGTTTACACAAAGAGTCAGTGAAAATGCAACACACAAGTATCATTAATAGGTGGTGGCAATTATGTTATGGATATTGCTGTGAAGTCTCATTCTGGGAGGGTCCTGGTATCTGTGTTACTGAGGTCAGAGTAAAAGTTTTGGTTTGGTGTGACCAAAAATCAATGCAAATGTTTCATGATACTCCTCCAAAACTTTGCTTTAGTGAATCATTTTCCAAATTCATAAGCACATTTACACAGATGTTTTCATTGATCAGAGTCTACTTCCAATTAAACATTCATAAACATGTTAGTTTTCTATTGAGGAATGTAGTTCTCAAGAGAACACCTTGAAAAGCAGGTGGGAAATGATTACTCAGCCTTGGAAAAGTAAAAAGCATGAGAATCAGAATGAGATAACCTCTCCCCTGACCTTGCAGGGGTGGGATGCTACCGCTTCTTCCCGGCTCTATAGAACCGGTAGCTCTGAAGAGCAGCAGACACCGAACCAGTTCAGTGTCTGCTGCTGTTTGGCCCACCCGCCCACCTTACCTGACCTTTATTTCTTGCTTTTTCAACCTCAGCTGCTTTGCGCGGCACGTAATCACCAAACCGGTAGTAACACCGGTTGAATCCCACCCCTTCGACCTTGTCCTTAAAAAGGGAGGAGGTTCTCTGCAGGCTTTCAAGATTCTGTGAATGAATAAGGAATTCTAGCAAGTAGCATTTCTAGAATTCCTGCAGTGTCAGTTTCTTGGCCTGACCTCCCTTGAAAAGCTAACACCTCCCCATCATCTCCCCCCCCCCCAAAAAAGAGGAATTTGCAATATTGTTGCATCAGATTTGAAATCTCTTGTAGGTTCCTGATTAGGAAAGGCTCTCTCTGGGAAAACATGCTTACCAATTGAGTCTGACATCCTATTCTGAGGAGCATCTGTAGCTGGTGAACATATATTTTCTTTACTTTGGTGGATGCCTTGATTTCAAAGAAGACGTCATGTGTGCTGCAACCACCCCTTCCTTTTCCTCTTTCCCCTCCTCATATTTTTAATATTCCTCCTGGGTCCTCACATTTAATGGCCTATGGTAGAAGTTTACTCACTGCAGATTCAGTGACCAAATTCCAATTCAGAACCAAGGGGATATTTATATTATATTCCCAATATCCTACCTGCCAGTGGTATGCCAGAAATTTTGGATTTTTTTTTCTTCGTTTTGTCTTCTTACATAATTCCATTGCTAGAATTATGATTGTTCCTGGACATTTAATTTAAATGTTCCCCAAATACTAAACTGAAGCACGTTCACCATTAATTATTTCAACCAAAAATGCTGTTAACAATTTTGAACATATTATTTCCAGTTTTAGTTCTGGAGAGTCAGACAACACATAATCTATTCTTCTGGTGCTGCTTGGTTGGTTCCACTATTTTTGTGATGACCCTTGGCATGGCACAAAGGCAATACAGTCAAATAATAAGTAGCAGTTCCTTTATTAGCTACAACTTTGTCCCCAATGTCCTGGTTACCTTCTGGGCTGGATAAAAAGTCTCCCAGGAACAGCCTTTGGCTGCAGAGATTCAAGTCCAAAATGTTGCCAACAAAAACATTAACTATTAGTCCAATCAAGGCAAGATGAGGTAATTAATCCAGCAGGGCAAGAGAAGAAATTCCAGATGTGAAGGAAATCAACCCAGTTGGGAGGATTCCAACCACGGTCAACACAAGATAAACTCACATTTGTTCCCAGAAAACACCATTCTCAGCTTGCATCTTGTTTAAACTCTCTTCCCAGGTGTGCCTAATGAAGAGAATCAGGGCCCTTTCCTCCCCCCTAAGCCATGCAAGCATTCCTCCCAGGGTGTTCTAGGATGAAGAGGGGTTGGGTCTGGATTTTCTTCTGAACTCCCTTTCCCTTTTTCTCCCTCTCCTGCTCTACCCAGCCGGTCTTTGCCCTTCCCCAGTTTCCTCCACAGCTAATGGAGCCACACTCCCGCTTCCTGTCTTCCTCCTCGGATTCAAATTCCGACAGGGGCATGATAGTTTGGGACATAAAAAGGAAGCAATAGACAGTCTGGTGTTCAGCCATGCTTGAATATATGCTATGTCCCCTTTCTAAGATTTGCTTCCACATTAAAAATCTTAATGGATAGGGCTAGCTTAATTCTTACAAAAATGTATCACTTTTCTCTCTGTCTATGGCAATTCTCAATCAACCAGGTCATGGTTTCCCAAAGATGCTTTTTTCAAAAGCAACTGGACTTTCTTTGAGCTTTTTTTTTTTTTTTTTGTCTTTGAAAAGGTTTCGCTTCTCATCCAAGAAGCTTCTTGGAAGAGAAGCAAAATGTTTTGAAGGAAGAAAAAAACAAGAAGTTCTGGTTGCCTTTTGGGGGAAGGAATTTGGATTACTTCTCCCTCACAAGAATATTTCTCTATTCTGAAGCCTTTAAAATTTAGATGAGCAGCCCATGAACAGATGTAAATTTAATATTTGGAAATGGCAAGCAAGATTAAAATCTTGGGTAAACATCCCCCAGGCTCTTCTTTCATATCTGTGGTACTATAAAGATCTGCCTCTGCTGCCATTCCCTATGCCATTTCACTATTGTGTACTTATAACAGTGAGCATCAAACAGGAATCAGATCTAAAGTTAATCCACACATGTGCTGCTACTACTAAAACCCACTATTTGTGCTCATGGCATAGATTACCATCCATTAAAGTCCACTCCAGTCCACTTCATAATTTGAAGAATTATTTGAACTTACTGCCTCATAATATTAGAGGCACAGCAATTATGTCCAAGAGTTAACTTTTCCCTGCATTGCCCTTTTATATCTGAAGGTTAAGATAGTTTTGTGATTATTGAGAATGAATTCTCATTGTATTTTAGGGAAGTAGTTTACATTTTACCAACCAGTTGGTAATTTCTCTTCCTCTAAATTCACTATAAGTTTTGTTTGTTTTTTCAAAATTTCCTACAATGAAATGGTTTTGGCAGGAGATTAGCTCTGACAGAGAGAAGTATTTATTCAGCAAATGGCTCCTGATGGACATTGCAGTTGACAACAGGTTATCCCATTTTGAAAGGGAAATCCTCGAATTCATAGCAGAAATGTGTATCAGTGGTTCTTAAAGTATCTCCCTGAACTACTGTAGAGAAAGAGCAGGAAAAGGCTAGTGTTGTAATGTCTTACTTGTGGTCTCTACTGAGAAGGTTGTCTAGACTCTTTGGGAATCAAAACTGAACTAGACAGGAATTGGTCTTTTTATAATTGCACTGTAGGGCAGAGGAGAATGACAAGATACATTAAGACTGCATGCGTTGCTGAAAATCTTGTGGCTGATGTTGGTATTAAATTGCAATACTAAACAGGTTTCTAAATAGAGAAATCTTATTTTAATGGACTATGTGGAAAAAGGGTGTCTGTTATTCACAAACGTCCAGTAAATTGGAGGGTACATCATCAGATTGATTAAGGCAATTTGCGTGTGATCAGACAAACAGAATAAAAGATCACATTTTGTGGATGTATTATGCAATAACTTCATTATGTCAATAGACTAAATCGCAGCAGAATTTGGTCCTTTGCATCAGGTAAATTGAAATTTCACAGTAATGTCAGGCCAGTCATTTGTGGAAATCATTATTTCATGTGAAAGAAGAAGGTGAATTAGGAGTCACATTAACATGGTTTGTAAATGACCGATGCTGCTTTTCTTTAAAAATGCTCACACCTAAAGCATACACTGGGACTCTGTGGACTCTCTTTCTATTTTCTTTTTGCAGCGATTAGTTGACCACAGCATTGCCAAAATAGTGAAACACAGAAAGAAGGGCTATTAAAGGTTTTAAAAAGAAAGAAAAAAAAAAAGAAGGGGAAAATTGTACCAACAAAATCAAGCAACATCTCCCCTTATCCCAGTGCTATTTGCTCTGCTTCTATAACCCCTTCACAAAAATGGTACATATTTGGCATAGCACTAACTTTTAATATGACAGATGGAAGCAATAATTAAATACATCATTGGGAAATAATCATATTACTTATATTTAATTACATGTAAGTGACATCAAATTTAGCTTTTGATCTGGCACCACTCAGTGTTTTTTGGGAATGCAGCTTTTGGCTGACCATGGCTATCAGCCCAGAAAATGTTTTGCATCCCTTCTGGAAGGATCTGTTGGGTTTCCTCCACCCCTCCTCTTTCATTTGCTTTTCTTATTATGCTCCATAAAAGAGGGATGGGGTTTCTTTTAGTGTGAGGCCACTTGTCTTTTTTAGCTAACTTTTGATGCACATCTAATCTCATAATTCTGCGGACATTATTGAAGTTCTCAGGTTTATTTTTAAGCATTTTTTTTCAAACTTCCTACCAGCATATCTTGACATGCTTCCAAGGTTCTGTTCAAATATTTATAAAAACTGGTATTTTCCTTCTGAATGTTCACTGGAATCCTTAGAAGCCCAACTTAGCTACTCTTCTTTCTTTTTTGCCTACTGCCTATTGCCCTCTTCCCAAGTTCTCTAAGGTCAATTCCCTGAAGAAAGAGGAATGATAGTAACAGGTGACCGAAGGCTAAGGTTACTCGGTTTTCTGAACGTCATATTATTTGCAGCTGGGAATCACAAAATCTTGGTTGTGAGCCCATTTAAAGTCCATTAACTTTAAATAAAGTTTTTGCTAGGTTCAGACTAGGGTTCCCTCGTTAGGAATGGGAAAGTTTTCATTTTGAGCTGTTCCTTTGTGAATACATATCCCATCCCACATATTCAGAGTGTATTGATAGAAAAAGAATGCATGTATACAGATGGAAAATCATATCGATTACTTCCAAGACAGAAGTTAAATGACATAAAGGCAAAGGTAAAGATTCCCCTCGCACATATGTGCTAGTCGTTTCTGGCTCTAGGGGGCGGTGCTCATCTCCATTACAAAGCCGAAGAGCCAGCACCGTCCGAAGAGACAGCACTGTGGTCATGTGGACAGCATGACTAAACGCCGAAGGTGCAGGGAACACCTTCCCACCAAAGGGGTCCCTATTTTTCTACTTGCATTTTTACATGCTTTTGAACTGCTAGGTTGGCAGAAGCTGAGATAAGTAATGGGAGCTCATTCCGTTATGGGGTGCTAGGGATTCCAACTGCTGAACTGCTGACCTTTCTGATCGACAAGCTCAGGGTCTTAGCCATTGAGCCACCACGTCCCTAAAAATGACATATACGTTAGTGTAATTCCTGCCTGAAGTTCAAGCAGGAATAAAAATTAGCAGATATATACTGGTTGGGCAGGCACTTGTTTTACCATATCTTTTGCACAGACTTTCTTAAACAGACTCAGCAGCTTCCCATCTTGCAAAAATAGACATATTGCATCAAGGTAACTATATTCTTACTAACAGCTTTACAACCCAATTGACGGGCCACATTTGATGGAGCAGCGGATAAGGGTGGCAGTTTAAGGTGTCCCTACAGAGTTCCATCACTAATACTGTGGACTTCTCTTCAGTCATGATTCAAAGCAATCTCAGAAACATTAATAGAGACAATGCTGAATTGTCAACCACAAAAAGACACCTCTAGTCAACTTTCAAAGTGTGCTCTAATTCCATGAGCTTGGTTGAACATTAGATACAAAAATGTTACCTCTGTGTTGTCCAGAAAGCAGGCCACATTCTCTTTCAGATCAATTATAGCGGATGCCAATGACTGAAACTTTTCTTCCAGTTGATCAAACTCTTTATCCTCTGTCTAAAGATGAAAGAAAAGAAATTATATTTTGTCTGAAGACAACTTACAGGTAGTAAAAGATCAGTATTGAGCCATGATACAAAAGGAAATAGAATGCCACAAGTGACTACAGACTTCTTCTGTGAATGTCAATCGTACTGTTGGGAGAATTTCTCGGTTCCTTTCTTCTGAGCTGGGAAAGGAGACCACCATTAGCAAGGGAAGGGCAAGCACCCCTAAAATCAAGACACTGAGGCTATCAGTGTTCCAACTGAGGAACCCCCAACCAAAGCAAGCACGGCCGAGACGATCCAATCTCTTCATGCAAAACTTTAGTGAATACTTCACTTTGGCAAAGATGAGAGCAAAACCAGATCTAACTACTTCTTGTGCAAACCCATATAGTTAAAAGTTTAGATTCTCCCTCTCCTCCCCCCTCCCCCCATAAGACAGGTCACATTGTCCAATTGGGTCTCATGGCATTGTGATACAAAAGTCTTTTAGCTCTGGCAAACACCTGCTGAAGTGTCCTTGGTTCTCACATATGTCTTCTTGATGTCTGTATTCCATCTCTCCCTTCTCCCCCCCCATAGTTCATTGGCAAGCTGAGAAGAGATAAGAGTTGCAACAGCAAAAGTGCCTTTTTGAAGCTTGACAGAAGCTGATTTCTTGAAAAAGATCTCTCTCTATTGTCCCAAAACAATACAAGGTTTGACCACAGACTGATCCATCAGTAAGATTTTTACATAATTTTGAGTCCTTTGTGAAAGACACACAGGTGAGATATATGGTTTTATGACTGGAACAGGAAACATGGTGGCACAGGGGTCAGAGTGCAATACTGAAGACTACTCCTGCTGACTGTCGGCTGCCTGAAATTTGGCAGTTCAAATCTCACCAGGCTGAAGGTTGACTCAGACTTCCGAGGTTGGTAAAATGAGGAACCAAAATTGTTCAGGGCAATATGCTGACTCTGTAAATCACTTAGAGAGGGCTGTTAAAGCACTGTGAAGCAATATATAAGTCTAAGTGTTATTGCTACTGCTACATGGCTTTTACAGTTAGAGGAAATATTTTGCTTTTTCTCTCCCTGTCAGAAAAGTTCCTGACTAGGCACATGGTATAAAGAACATGGGCATAAATGTTAAACATTGATTGATTTCCAGTTGCCTGTCAGCGTTCTATTGCATTTAAAGAAACACTATATTTTACAAATGGAAACAGCATTTCTTTGACTCCAAATCAGAAGGCTGTTTAAAAAGGAGGTGGGAAGAGATCACAGACTTTTTAACTTCTATCAATACTTATAAATTTATGTTGTAAATGAATAGGCAAGAATGGTATGCAAAGTAAATATCTGCCATCTCTGGAGTTCCCAGAAATTATATTATTTCTGATAAATGCACACCCTGGATCGACAGGAAAGTCTAATGCAAGCATAGACTCTTCTACTGGATCTTGGAAGAGGCAAGAGACAAACCATTGGAAAATTACTTTGCAAAGAGAAGAGAGATGATTGAAAGAAATTTATTTCAGTAGGAAAAACTGATTTCACTAAATTTGCTTCGGTTCTTGAATTTTTTTCACTGCCCAAAGTTGAGAGTTAAAGAATATTACTCCAAGATATATTTCCATGCAGGCTTCCCAATGCCGTTAGAGATAAGCTAATTTTAAGCAGGGTCATCATACTTTATCTTCTACAAACAGGAACTAATGCTAAGACCAATATCTCAATTAGGGGTGTAATGAGGAGTGGAACATGCTCGGCATGCTTGCAGCACTACATAAATTACTACTCCTGTCATTACATGTGAAGGAATCATCCTCAGCCAGGTCACAAGCAGAAGTTGTTATGTGATCTCTTCCCAAAATGTGTCATGATCCATAAATGAAGCACATGAACTCTTAAAGACTGCAATGTGATCATCAACTGCTATCCATGAAGCAGCTTGTGGGCATCTTGAGGACATCAGTGTGAATGAGTTTCAGAAAAAAACTATTCTGCAATCTGCAACTCTTACACTGCAAAAGCATATGGACTACGCAATTCGATCAGGGCAAAGCAATAGACGCAATCTACATAGACTTCTGTAAAGCCTTTGATTCAGTGGTACATGACAAACTACTCCTAAAACTAAAATGTTATGGTATCTCTGGACAAGTGCATAACTGGATAGAAGCAAACAGATAACAAATGGTCAAAATTGGGAGCGTCCTATCAAATTCTGTACCTGTCAACAGTGGTGTCCCCCAAACAGTGTTCTAGGACCAACTCTCTTCATACTCTACATAAATGACCTCTGTGATCATATTAAGAGCAACTGAGTTCTCTTTGCTGACGATGTAAAGATATTCAACACCACAGACAATACTGCTATCCTTCAAAAAGACCTCGACTATGTATCAGAATGGTCAAGCAAATGGCAACTTCAAATCTCAACAAATAAATGCTCTGTCTTATATATTGGCAAAAAAAAATCAGAAAATAAAATACAGGCTGAATAGTCAAGACCTTGTTGATGATCCAAACTCTGTCAAGGATCTTGGAGTACTCATCTCTAATGATCTAAGTGCTAGAGCCCACTGTAACTACATAGCCAAAAAGGCATTAAGAGTTGTTAACCTAATCTTACGTAGCTTTTTCTCTGATAATATTACACTACTAACTACAGCATACAAAACATTTGCTAGAACAATATTCGAATCCAACTCATCAGTCTGGAACCCACATTATGTATCTGATATTAACACAGTTGAGAAAGTCCAGAAATATTTCACAAGAAGAGTTCTCCACTTCTCTACTTGTTGCAGAATACCTAATGCCACAAGACTCGAAATTCTAAACCTAGAAAACCTAGAACTACACCGCCTTCAGTCCAATCTAAGTATAGTATATAAAATTATACATTGCAATGTCCTACCTGTCAATGAATACTTCAGCTTCAATCATAACAACACAAGAGCAAACAATAGATACAAACTCAAGGTTAATCGTACCAAACTTGATTGCAGGAAATACGACTTCAGCAACAGAGTGGTCAATGTCTGGAATACTCTACCTGACTCTGTGGTTTCTTCCCCAAACCCCAAAAACTTTAACCTTAGACTTTCTACTATTGACCTCATCCCTTTTCTAAGAGGTCTGTAGGGGGCGTGCATAAGCGCACCAACATGTCTACCATCCCTGTCCTATTGTTTCTTTTATTTTTCTTATATGTATCCATGTATTCATAACTATGTTTTTACTTATACCTATTATCTTGTAAGCAATTGACAAACCAAATTAAATAAATAAAATTCAGTTGAATGGAATGGAAACTGTGGATGAGTTGAGGGGTCCTGGAGTCTACGTTTCCTAGAATTCTCAATCTCTATAACAGTACTGTTTATAGCAACAGCATTTAGACTTAAATACTGCTTCACAGTGCTTTACCGCCCTCTCTAAGTGGTTTACAGAGTCAGCGTATTGCCCCCAACAATCTGGGTCCTCATTTTACTGACCTGGGAAGGATGGAAGGCTGAGTCAACCATTATAAATCTCTCTTCATTATTCTTTGTCATTCCAGACCACTGCAGGACATTCAGTTCCAAGACATACAGCAAAATGACGTATACTTACCTTGGTCACAATCCCAGCTTCATGCATGAAGAGGCGGCTCAACCGTGCAGTCTTCTTGGCAATGGAGTGGGTATTTAGGCGGGCCAGACGTTCTCGCAGAGTCAGATACCCAGCCTTGTTATATTTATCTGCTGCTCTCAGTCCAAAAGAGGAGAGGAGGTGAGAAATGTAACAGAACAAGTTATAGAAGGCAGGAGGAAAAATTTCAGGGTATTTAATGATTCTTCAGTAGACGTAAGAAAAAAAATGCCATGGGAAAACTTAACTCCGACATCCCAAAGGTGCTTTTTCAAGAGGCAACTGGACTTTCTGGTTTTTCTTTGAAGATGTTTCACTTCTCATCCAAGAAGCTTCTTCAGCTCTGACTGAATGGTGGGGGATGGAAGGATTTGTACTCCTAGGCACTGATAGTTTGCTGCATTAATGGATGTTTGTTTGAGATGAGACCATCCAATGGAGAAGGACTGGGTTTGCAAGCAAATGAACCCCAAAACGACAAACACCCAAAATGCAACTGCATCTGAAAATAAAAGCGACATAATACTTTATGGCATTTTGGGGATTTGTCGTTTTGGAGTTCATTTGCTTGAGAACCCAGTCCATCTCATTGGATGGTCTCATCTCAACCAAATGCCCATTAATGCATAAACTATCATTGCCTTGGAGTATAAATCCTTCCATTCCCCACCATCCAGTCAGAGCTGAAGAAGCTTCTCGGATGAGAAGCAAAACATCTTCAAAGAAAAACCAGAAAGTCAAGTTGCCTCTTGAAAAAGTACCTTTCAGACAACCATGACATGGATGACTGAGAATCTCCAGAGATACTTAACTTTGATACATTTGGATACACTGATTAACAACAAGCTAAAAAAGCAATCAAATATAGGATCAAGAGGCTGCCTTGTAGCCATTGTCTCTTCAGCTAAAGAAGAGTATATAACAGATTTTCCTTTCCTGGGAATCCCCAAATTTAGTGAACCATAACTTTGGGGTCCTTGGTGCTCTGAGCTTGGGTTATTTTCTGCGGACATTTCATTACCCAACTAAGTAACATCATCAGTGCTAGACTGATGCTAGCATTGATGCCTAGCACTGATGGTGTTACCTATCAGATAATGAAATGTCTGCAAGAAAACAATCAAGGTCAGAGAGCATCAAGGGCCTCAAAGTTTAACCGTGAGCTACAAATATTCTCTTCTGTCAGAACCATAACTTCTATCATTTCTAGGACAGCATTCTGATTGAAAATGATGGGAACTGTTGTCCAACACATCTACCGTACTGGGGAGGCTCTGCTATAGCTATGCAAACAATTCTGACAAGACAGACCTAAAGATTGCTACATTATGACCATCTTGAAAGCTGACCTGTTTCCTATCCCTTAGTTTTAGTTCCGCTTTGAAGCTAAGTTCATTCTACAGAGGAATTATTGAGTCTGTCATCTGCACCTTTATAACTGTTTGGTTTGGTTCTGCAACCCAACAGGACAGACACAGACTTCAGAGGGTAATTAGGACTGCAGAAAAAACAATTACTACCCACCTGCCTTCAATCGAGGACCTGTATACTGCATGAGTCAAAAAGAAGGCTGTGAAAATATTTACAGACCCCTCACATCCCAGACATAAACTGTTTCAACTCCTACCTTCAAAATGATGCTATAGAGCATTGCACACCAGAACAGACACAAGGACAGTTTTTCCCTCGAACACCATTACTCTGCTAAACAAATAACTCCCTCAACACTGTCCAGCTATTTACAAAGTCTGCACTACTATTACTATTAATCTTCTCATCACTCCTTATCACCCATCCCCTCCCACTTGTGACTATATGATTGTAACTTTGTCGCTTGTATCCTTACGATCTATATTGACTGTTTCCTAGTATGATTTGATTGCTTATTGTACCCTATGACTATCATTAAGTGCTGTACCTTATGATTCTTGACTTTTGACAAATGTATCTTTTCTTTTATGTGCACTGAGAGCATTTGCACTAAGACAAATTCTTTCTGCGTCCAATCACACTTGGCCAATAAAAAAGTCTATATTCTACATTCTATAATGGCTGGTTCCAATTCAATAATGTGTATTCCTCAGTGGTGGGATTCAAATTTTTTTTTACTACAGGTTCTGTGGGCGTGGCTTAGTGAGTGTGGCAGGGGAAGGATACTCTAAAATCTCAAGTCAGAGATGGGAGTTGCTGGTTCTCCAAACTACTCAAAATTTCCGGTTCTCCAGAACTGGTGAGAACCTGCTGAATACCACCCCTGGTATTCCTCAGGCATGACTGGTCAACTCTCCCAAAGCAGATTATGCCTTCAAATGTATATTTCCTTTCCAAAGTGACTTCTCCATTGTTTGCATGTTTGGAAGTGCAGCAGGAAACATTTGTGCATGAATAATGTTGCCCATTGTGCTTTAAATCCAGAGCTATAAGTGGGTTGTAGCTGATTAATTTCCTACATTGCAAATGCTGACTCAGGAAACCGCTCGCTGTGCCAAATCACATTTTTAAAAGTACTTTCCCTTTATTTTTGTTTGCCATTATTAAACTTTCAATATCCCTAGCTAAACTCAAGGAAATAAGATCACAAAATCCTGCAAAAATACATCAAACATTCCATATAGCCAGCTTCAATTGACCCAGATATACCAGATTTCAATTTTCTGACAAATTATTGTAGGGGATTGAGTGCTGTTAGAAGTTGAAGGTTCCTGACATTCTGCAGTAGACATAGCCAGAGAAGATCAATCTTTCTTACCTATTTCCTTCCGCCTTTTATATTCATTGATATTGGCATTGACATCTGTCATAGCGGTGGCTGCAGCCTGCAGGGCTCCATAGGCACTGTCAGTGTCTGAAGTGTTTTCCACAATCTTCTGCAGCATCAGTGGGTATTTTGTGATTCGTTGCACTGGCATCACCAGGAAGAAGCTCAGGTTTGAAGCACCAGTGTGAGGCCTGACCAAGAAACGCAAAAGGATATCAGTCAGAAAATGTTGGGTCCCCTCAAGCAAACAGCGCCATCTATTAGGACCCAGAAAGCATATTTTCTCTGTCATGGAGCTTGTTCTCTAGTCTGGAATAAGATCCTTCCCCCTCCCTGCCCAGAGATCCATATCAACTCCCTGTCCTGGCAATGTTTTAGAAAGCCTTCAAAATCTGGATTTCCCACCCCCCAGCTTTGTGGTGAGGTGCTTATGGACCACAGTAGGTGACTTTTTGTTAGAAGTAGTGGGTTTGTGTAGATGCAGGAATTTTCCTACTGGTTTTTCTTGTTTTACTTCTTTTATTTTATGTAAGCTACCCAGAGTCATTTCGCAATGGGTGTCCTCTAACGCTCCTAAATAAAAAAACATCAGGATGTAAAGCGGCTTTAAATCGTTTCAGTCTTTCCGAATGGGAAACTGAATATTTCATATGTATTTAACAGAGAGGCAGGATTTGCATTTTACATGCCTATTTATTCATTTGATTTACATCTCCTTTTTCTTTGGCACACCTCAAGACAGTGTGCATAATAATTCTTTTCCCCAACCCGATGAGGTGGATTGGGGTGGGAAAGCGTGCCCAATCCAGTCATTCAATTGGCTCCCCTTGCCTAAAAGAAGACTAGAAATCCCATCTCCCAATTTCTAGTCCAATACTTTACCCACTATGTCAGATTGGTTATTTTTTTTATTTGAGCCTGCAAAAAAAAAAAAACCCAAAACAAAACAAAATCCATGAATCAAATACAATAGCCGTCTTCCCTTTATAATATTCTAAAGTATCTTCTATATCCACTTGATAATCCACCTCCAATTGTTATGCTTGATTTCCAACAAAGTTAAGGTGTTTAACCTTTAAAGCCCAATGGTATGTTATGAGCATGCCACTGCCTGGAATATGGGCAATTCACCATCATGTGTGAAGATTACACATTAGCCTTGATTAACAATGCAGGCCTGATGGACAGATTCTTGCGATTGCTGCTGCTTTGTTAAGTTTGAAGGATTTTCCTGCAGCTGGGCTCTAGTTGGTAGTAGTGGCAGAAAGAAATGTGTAAGATGAGCTCCTTCGTATGAGCATCCTGTTTCAAAGAAGGTCAACAAGGTTTCTAAAAAGTTTATCAACAGATGAGATCTCAGCAAATGGTGCTCTATTGTTGTTGTTGTTATTATAATATCACATTGTTACATTAGTCAAGAGACCACAATGCTATTTCAAAGTAGTAGTTTGGTTGCCAATTTACCAGCTCTGTTGTAGGAGAGGCTCACATACTTCCCAGGGTGGGCCAAAGGAGGCGAGGTGGCTTTGCACCAGAAAGAAGGACAAGTAATTCTTCCTACAGCATCATCCAAGGCCCCCTCCCTTCCCTGGAGCCACCTTGCAAATGGGCACCACAACTGGGAAGGTTAAGAGCCAGCAGGAATCTGACTGTCTGTATGGAATACCAACTCATTTCCCCACCAAAGTGGTATCTATTTATCTACTTGCATAGAACATCTGTTAGGTGGACAGAAGTTGAGGCAGCTGACAGGAGCTCACCCCTCCCTGCAGTGCTAGGACTCAAACCAATAGAGCAGAGACCATCTTCAACGTTATTAAGCAACTGAGCTTAATAACCGTGCCTCTGCTATTCTGTGACACTCCCTCTGGACATAATTGATTCAGTGTCTATGCAAAATTGTCTTTAATAGCTTTTGGAGATTGGCTTTTAATATTCAATCACTTTGCTTTGCTCACAGAGCATTACCATTTTTTTCATGGCACCTTCCATGAAAAATAATATCCACTAAAAAAGGAAATATGTTGTAGTTTGCACAATGCCTTTTTATTAGTACCCCAATCAAGCATCCTAAACAGTGTGGCTTTATTTAATCCCTTTAAAAACTTGTTTGGCCCAACGGCCACATTATCTGATAGCATTGAATTCTGTAAAGGACAAGATGCTTTGAATCTTGCCATGAATTCATGGAACATCACAATTGCAGGAAATTAATACAATCCAATAGAAATCCAGTGGATAGATGACGTATAGCTCATACTGTATTTGCAATTGTACTTGTTTCTCTGCTTTTAAACATGATATTTAGCAAAAGGCGTCTATGTTCAAAATTAAATACAAATGGCATGAGTAGAGTTGCTTCACATCCTACTGAGATTTGAACTCTCTGGTTTCGATATGTATGTGATTCATTTGGAAAAAGAGCTGTTATCTCTCACAGCTATGCTACCCCTACTAAAGTATCTGTTTTAGCAAGGTGAAGGGATGAAGTGACCCAAAGTGCACAGATGCTGTCTACCACTGACTGATATAACTGCCTCATTAAACCCAGGGTTGTGTTTCTTGAAAAGTAAAAATATTAGCATACTAAAAATCTGGGTTATATGATTGCCACCATCATAAAATATACTTACACAGTGGTAGTCAAGGTTTCCATGATTTCTTTTTGCAATCTTGGCTCCTTACTATAAATATCCAACAGTAAAAGAGCTTGCTCATAGTCTCCACAATAAAGTTTATAGACATTTTCCATTTCTGCTTTGAGCTCTTGGAATAAAGTGCCTACCACAACAAAATTATTAAACCATCAGAATGAAGACTCCCAAGACATATAAAAGCCTTAATGCATCATATTGTTCTTAAATCTCATTAATTAGTCTCACTTTCATGCAAGTATGAATATATGTATGCACATACATGTAAGTATATAAACACAGGAATAATTTTTCAGGCTGATAAAGAGTATACACATTTGAAGTACAATGGTACCTCAGTACCTCAGGTACTCAAGAAGAGATTGAACTGCCATTTGTCAGAAATGGTGTAGGGTCTCCTGCTTGGGTGGGGGATTGGACTAGATGACCTATAAGGTCCCTTCCAACTCTGATTATTTGTTATCAGTACTCATTGTTAACTGATTCTGGGAGGTATTATGAGGAGCAAAAACAATGAGTACCAAATAAATTTTTCCCATAAGGAATAATGTAATGAATCACAAGGTAGCCAGTATGGATAAGTTCTAGCTTGTGCATTGAGTACCAAACAAACAATGAGTTCCGTTTCACAACAACACACAATAAATACCAAATATGATGAGTTTCCAAGCAGTTGAGTACCAAGGTACCATCGTATAGCTGGCTAATTATGAAATTAAGAAGCTAACCCTTCACTATCGCCCCCAGGTCCTTGAATATACCACACCTCTCAAGGATATTAGCTCACATTTCAAAAGTGACAACTGAATACAACAGGCAGAATTTCCAAAGAATGGGATTGCAACTCTACTCTCCCTTGGATTCCTCCTTTGCCTGCTTCTTACTTACCCATCACAGTGCAAAACTCTTCTTATCGTTAGGTCTCATATGAAAGATTATATTAGCCTCACTTTACATGTCTCCTCCTTTATCTACTGTCTGTCACTACCCATTGTTTCTTTAAACTTTAAGATCCTCTGCTTATTTTACCCCTTAGCCATCCTATCTTTTCATCAAGTTCTCCAGCATTCTTCTTCTTCTTTCTCCACAGTATTCCCTGGAGTGCTTTGAAGATGCTTCACAGATGGCTTCCTAAATGTCCCCTTTTATGACTCATACCGTGCTGTCCCCAGAATCTGAACTCAAAAAATTAAAAATATCTAAGAAAAAAAAACATATTGGCTTCCATTTATTTAGCAAACACATTTTACTATTTTGGAGGTTAAACCATTTCTCTTTATTCCATAATTTGATGTACAATCTTGAAATAAGTATGCTTTTGGACAATATTAAAAGAACTGTTTTCTTCTGCTACAAATAATAAAAGTAATTCTGGAATGACAGAAACAGCTGATTAATATCAAGCTGATTAACATTAACACTTCTATCTTTTAACTTTTAAAAAGATAATATTGAATCCAGGTTTTAAGACATTAGGCTGTCTGATACTGCCTTGTAGTACTTGTGTCAAAGTTATCAAAGTACTCCTGTTATTATAATAGAATCTACACGATTGCTTTAATAACAACAGTATTTAAAAACTATGCAGTAGATATATCATTGTAGGTACTACCTACTGATATGAAAAAGTTGTCCTTGCCCCTCGTTCACAGAAGCTTCAAGTCCTTTCAACAAACGTTTGGAAACCTCCAGGATATCATCTATATTAGAGAATAATCCTTCCAAGTCAATTTCAGGCAGCTGAAATAGAGTAGTACAATGTTTCAGTTTCTCCTCTTAACCAGCAAATGCTCCTATTCTACAAGACAAAGATAGTTACTACCTTGTTATCAGTGATATTTCTATTCCCACATTGCTATAACTGTATCCATTAAATATCTGTAGGTTGTGCATTCTGACAAATCCCTTTGTATTTTTGTAAGCAGCTGTATCATGCTGCTTTATTGATCTATGGATTCTTCAAGTGCAGAAGTTGCGAGCACGTTGTTGAAGAATGAATCCACAGAATACAACAGCTAGACAACCGGAAGAAACTTTCTCACAATAGGATCCAGTCATTTTAAACCATATCCCCAATCAGTCAAGGGTTCACCATCCTTACTTGATAAAGTATACATTAACAATTAATATACTCTCTTTCTCTTGCCTTAAACTTAATTTTCAAAGTATCCCCAGCTGAAGAATTTTCTCCCTATACTCTTATTTCTTACTATTCATTGAATGCTTAGTCAATTTTGGGACAAGCCACTGATGGTTACCATCCTTAATGCCTTAGTGTATTTCTATTTATACAAAACAGGATTCCCTGTTGTTTATCAGAACTCAAGTGCTGATGATTACAGACCATCTCTCTTATTCTCACCTGTTTTTTCTGGAGGTGATGACGGATATCAAAAATGCAGAGCTGAAGGTTGTGCACATAGTTAGCTTCTGTAGTGATGAGCTCATCCACGGCCATTTGGTGATTCAGCTCTGGTTTGTCAGAAGATACCAGAGTTTCATAAATATGTTCATAGATATGTTCCTCATCCTCTGAAGTCACCTTGGATGGAGATTCTTCAGTGCTGTCATTTGCCATATTAAGAGCTACAAAGGCAGAATGAGAAGTTTCAATCATTGAACATATGAGCAATAGTCACGTCAATTCTTAGGCTGTATTTTAATGGGAATTCTCCCTTTTGTTTACTATTACATTTTGAAAATATAAGAGATAGCTAACATACACTGGCAACAGCTTATCAGTTGTAACCATTATTTATCATTCAAAAGGGATTTTCCAATAGCAAGAATTATATTGGCTAGTATTTATAATCTGTTGATAGTAAGCCACTTTGTAGGAAGGAATGAACATATATGTTGAGAACTGATTAATAAAATATAATAAATTGTTACATTACAATAATACAAACTTTTAACTACACCAGTCCCCACTTAATCCAAATTCTTCACTGATTAATAGATTTCCAATTTTTGTTATACACTTCGACATTTTGTTATAGCTACACATTGTATCTGGGTGATAACCTATGGTATAATTTGAAAAACCTTAATTGTTCTTAACTAGTTACTATGAAACTTTGAATTTAATTCTAAACAACTGTTTGGAATTCCCAGCAACTCCCCTTATTTATTAATAGGGGTTGGGGCAAGGAATGTAATATAGAAGTGAAACTATTTCTTTCTTCAATAGATTCCTGACTAAAAAGAGCCTCTTTCTGGCAGAGTTTTGACCATGTTGTGGTGCAAAATGAGATCACCCTTCCCCAAGAGATCCTTGCATTAATAAAGTTGTTCTCATGGCCTGCCTGACACTTTCACCCACATTAAATTTATCATTGCACCAATGAGAGAACAGATACCGTTAAGCAAAAACATGATTCGATGAGAAAAGACCAAGCCACTCCTTGTAAGTTTCTGTCATGTAAGCTTCATTCAAAGTGAAGTCATTTCACAGATTGATGTGAAAGGGGCTTTTAAATTTTGAGGAGTGTTCATTGACTCTTCCTGACATGATGACATCATACATAATTCTACATAGTGGCTGTCATCATCCACATAAAAGTTAAGCCTGGAATTAAAAGTGATCATACTGTGAATTAAAATATGGGAAAGCTGACCATGGTTGAGGGCACATAACATTTCTCAGTGATGTTTCTAAAGCATCTTGAACCATGCAAATCGCAGTTCTGTGACCTTGGATGAAATCATCATTTTAAAATCAATACAGAGGAAAAGATATTGCTGCTTGCCTGGAATAGTGAGATAACCTTTCAAACTATTTTAACTGATGGATTATTTTTTTTAATCTCAGCATTATTCAATTGAATGGTAAAATGCTTTATTTTCAGGGCATAATTCCATACAGTGCTTATCATTTTATACAGCATTATCAAATTATCACTGCCTAATTTTTTTAATGTAGTTGTTAATTTCCTTAGTACATTTAAATCAAAAAGGTGTATATCGAATGATATACACACAGGATAAGCAAACAGAAGTCACTTGCTTGACATAGTTTTATAGTCTCAGAAATGATGATGTGCAAAACTTGACAAATTCAGTTCTTTGTACTTTCATCATCTACTATATTCTAACCCTTAATTTATTATTAATTACTGCATCAATGAGTGACCAAAATTCTCATCCCAATTGCCATCATAAAACAAAGACATCCTGTAGCAGACCTACATTTTTTAAAAAATTAAAAGTTGACTAATAGAAAATACAAAATAAAACAATAATTAAAAACACAAGCATATCTCAACAATCACAAATATAAATTTTAAAATGCTAATTATGTAATGTTTGTTTTAAATGGCATCCATTTAAGAGGCTAAATAATAGAAAAACTTGGGTCCTTGTCTAACTGTACAGACCTTCATTGCATAAGAAACAAAAAATGGGGGTAAAGACATTGATCAGTTTCTTTTTACAAGTTAAACAAAAAAAAGTTTTGACTTACTTTCAGGACTGATTTATGGTGGCATTTATTTTCATGGACACAAACCTACTTTAGCAAATAAATACATGACCTGTTGCTGTCAGATGACAAGCACAGAAGGAGGAAGAAATGATATATGTTCACTTATATAGAGTCTTTACAGCAAGGTTGAATGCAGAATACTTTTTTACATTAATAATAGAAGTAAAACACAAGATTGTTCCATACTCCTCTCTGCTGTCCTTCAGATTGTTCTCTCTCCCACTTCAGTTTCAAGGCAAGTGGGCATCTTGCCAAAGCATTGATTGAGCTGTGGTTATCCAATTTTTTTTTTTAATGGAATATTTCAAGAATTGTTTTGATACGTTTTCAAGATTTTGTGACATTATGTTACTAAGCAGAAAGAAATCTAGAAAAATCTCCAGAATCTCAATGTTTCTTGCCAATCTCACAGGACTTGACAGTTCTGAAAAGGATCGTACTGACCCAGATGGAACTATTGCACAACCTGGGCTCCTCCTAAAGTCTTAGCTCAAGCTTAAAGGATAACCATGGTTAGAAGGGCATTTGCACAATTACATTTTGTGTACCAATTGTGCACATTTCTGGATCAGAAGGTTTTGCTCCCGGTTACTTCCCTTCTGAATTACTGCCTATATGTTCTACATCACATAGAAATTGCAGCTAGCCCAGCTAGTTCAAAATGTGATAGTATGTGTAGTTATGGGTATGCCTTAGCAATAGGAATTTCATTTAGCCTTATATACCGCTCCATAGGGCTTTACAGCCCTCTCTGAGTGGTTTACAGAGTCAGCATATTGCCCCCAACAATCTGGGTCCTTGGAAAGATAGAAAGATGAACCAACCTTGAACCAGTCAGGATTGAACTCCTGGCAGTGGGTAGAGTTTGCCTGCAATACTATATTCTAACCACTGTGCGCTATCATGGCTCCTTGCAATAATGAGCAGCTTATGAACTACTCTGGCTCTCAGTAGGTTTCTGAGTAAATTCAAGATGCTGGTTATTTTATATAATGCTTTTCATGGCACAGAATTGGGTTATCCATCTGTCTCTGCTTCTGGTCCCCTTAATTAAGCAATGTTACCTGATGGAACCAAAGAAACATGCCTTTTCTATTGCCATGCCTACTCTGGGACCCTGACTCTGATGACTTTCCATAAGGCATTAAAAACTTGATCCTTTCCATGGGCATTGGGCCAGGATGTTTATGAATCCATTTTTCAGGGGTTGTGGATATGTGCAGTGCCTCTGGCATGATGTTTCTTTGAGAGGGGTCTGTTGATGTTTTTATTCTTATTTTAACTGTCATTTGCTAGTCAGAGTCATATTTCAAGTTGGAGGGCATAAAAATCAAATTAAATAAATCAATAAAGCCACTGTAATGACTCTTTAAAAAATAAAATCACAACCAAGGGAGCAATATTCCTTTAGAGACTTTCCATGACTAAAAGGTGCCTCTATTTGCTTCTGTATTTCCTCCTGGGTCTCCAGCAGAAGCTACTAATGTCTGAGAATGTCTCTTGCAAATAGCACTGAATTCCACCTACATGCTGTCAACCCATTTGTGCCTAAAGAGGGAAGGAAGGCTTGAGCAGCTAAGGCAGGATGTGGACTACACAAGCATCAGATACCTAATTAGGTTATTATGGAAAAAGAGTTGGTATTTCAATTACTTTTTGCCTTTTTAAACTACTATGGCTCTATTTATTCATTGCTCCTTTTCAAATGTCTTTTAGCTGAATACCCAACTCAATATATGTGAAAGCACTACAATGTAAAACGATGCCTCATATTTGAAGGTCATCTGTAGAGCCAGCAGAACACTATGGCAAAATGCCATTGCATTTCCACATTTCCAGGGCATTTATTGAGGAATGGAAGAAGTGTAATCCCCATTTCTGAAGTAACTCCTATCCTAGATTAGGATTGAGTTTCAGCAGCACTGTGAGAAGGTAAGATGCCTATGTTATCCTTGTCAGCCAGACCCCTCACCAATCATGACCCATCATTGAATCCCATGCAATAGAACTGTTAGGGATAACATGGTTACCTAACTTAGTTTGGGTAAAATAATATATATAGACTATGATTGTGTGTGTCATTTTAAATGCAGACCATGTATTTTGGATTGTAAAATCACCATAAGAGGGAGCAAGAGAGCTCACTGTTTGCTGGCTTTTACTGGATTGCTGACAATGATGGATTGATGGTGATAACTGCGTGTTTTCCTTGCTATTACTGAACGAAGAAAAGAGGTTTGATTTTCTTCATATCTCTACTGCAAAAAGAGATATATTACTGGACTGATAATTTGTAAGTTTACTGACCTCTTTTTCGACACTGGACTTTGCTAATGAATAATCCCCGGACCAACTGAACTAAGTGTATGATATATGGACTGTTTGACTATGCTATAACTCTTACTGGAATAAAAACTATTTAACTGGCACAGTGTATCTGTTTACTGAGTGTAAGCTACAACAACGTTTATCTCACATATCTGCCTGCCTGCCTGACTGCCGTTGCACATTTTGCTAGGGTGTATATCCCTAACAAGAACCATGATGGTGAACCTATGGTGCGGGTGCCGGAAGTGGCACGCAGAGCCACTTCTGCCAGCATGCAAGAGGTCTCCCAGAAAAGCCCCACTGTGCATGCACACGTGCCGCCCACGCTACAGCTGATTGTCGGTATCTGGAGTGCATGCGCGGGGCGTGGGGGTGTGGGAAACACGCATGCATATGCAGAGACGTGCGGTGGGCGAAGGGGCTCACACACATGCACAGGGGTCATGGGGGGGGCCTGCGTGCATAGCCTCTAGGTGCTGGCATGCGAGCACACACGTACAAGTGTGCATGCAATTTTCAGCACAGGAGCCCAAAAAGGTTAGCCACCACTGTAATAGAACAAAAGATCACTTACTTTTCTGCCCATATTGACACTTGGGCTAAAACTGGCTGGGGTTTCCCTTTAGGAAATTGGCAAATATCCACAACTCAATCAAAACTATAGACAATTCCCTCAAAATATGGAAACACAGTGAGAGTACCAGCTGCGCTTTAACTGCAACGTGCGACATTTAATGCAAGCATGTGATATGTCAATAACAAAGAACAAGAACAA